CGGTAATGTACTATTTTCGTGCAACCTCTTGCTGAACCCGAGGTTTCTTCTGCTGGTGACGATCTTCATTGTTGCTTCTGATTTTGTCGGACTTCCTTTCAGGACTTTCCCAACGGTTTTCTCTCATACGTTTCTTTCCCTGGTCATCTCTTTTATCCTAGTTTTTAGTTATTTGATCAAATCTTTTTCCCTGACATAAGACTTCTTGAGCAACTTGTCATGAGCATCAAGTCTATCTTGCAGGGATTGAACCAACTTTACTAGGGAGTGGTTTTTCCCCTCAGAACGGAGGGATTCACCACGCTTTTCAATTTGATGGTTCTGATTCTTCGAGGGCCTGAAACTGGCAGAGGACATCTCTTCGCCTTCATGGGATCTAGATGGGCTTCCTCTTGCTTGTAACTGTGTATTGCTACCAGGAGGGATGGATGTAGGATCAGAGTTTTGCAAGGTAAAACTGTCTCTAGGTGATCCAATTGTGCTTCTGAGTTTAGACATTGTGGCTTCTTGTTGTGAAAAATGGAAATTTTCCCACAGACGGCGCCAAATGTAAGAGGCAAAAAAATCAAGAATACCTCCTACTGGAATTGAAAAATTGATGTATTTTTGAACTTGATCTCACAATCTTCCTTTACTTGCAAAACGAACAAACTGCCTAAGATCGAAGTGCTTCGATCGAAGACACTCCGATCCTTAAGTCAGTAAAGATTTTGAAACGAATGAAAGAAGATAAGGAGAGTCCAACGTACCTTTCAACTTGAATTCCTCCGTTTTTTATAGATGGTCATTCCCTTAGGGTTTTCGTGATTTTTGATTCAAGGTGGCACACATTCCTTCAATTTAGTGATTCGGTTTGGAAAGTTGCTGATATTTCTCCATTTTTTTCTGCTGATATCTTCAATTTCTTTGATTCGTTTATCTGATTGCCTAAGTTATAGGCAGATCTTTATCTTTCCATCTATCATTTGAAATAATTTGGACATATCGGATGCCGAGCACACTCGATGTTTGCCGAACAGATTAAGGGACTTGGTTTGGGACAAACCGACCTCTTCAATCATCTTGCAGAACATTTTAATGGACTCGACTTGGTACAAGCCCAGCTCTTTCCTTGCTTAGCTGAATTAAATTGATGAACTCGGTTATAAAGAGAACCAAACTTTTTTTTTCTTTACTGAACCTATCGATCAGAACGGCTCGGTTTATAGGGTTGTGTGAATGATTTCCCCGTCACATGATCTGTTTTGTCAACCTCACGCGGGTTTCATTTAATGCTATTACATGTGTAATGATGAGGGCTAACCTCTTCACTATTTTTTATTTTATTATTAGACAATTATACCACGTAACAATGTTAACGTGGTTAGAATTAATATTTACTCATGTATACGGGTGTTAATTGAGTTGGATTGTCGAAGTTAAGTATGTCAAGTTCGTCTCGAGTGTGACTTCAAGTCCCAGTTGAGCGCAACCATTGAGCTAAGCTTTTTGTTCAAGTTCGTCTCCACATGAGTCAAAAATTGAGCTCAATTTTCTCAAGAAAAATTTCAAATTATTTGACCATAAAACTTATTAATTAATTTTTTAATATCAAATACCACAAAAAATCTCCAAATATATATAATCAATAGTAGAGAGAAATGAATATGTTTTTATTTGGAGACAAATTTAGAGTTAATCTTTCAAAAATAGATAATTTGTTAGTGAAAATTGAATTATTTAAACAATACCATATTTAAGTTAAGTCAAGTCTACTCAAGCTGAATCGCAGGTTGCTATGTTTAGCACGTTTATAAAATGAACTTAAAATTTAGTTAGAGTTAATTATTCTTTTGAAATTTGAATGATCATAGACGAGTTAAAATCAAGTTGAGTCTAAGTCCAACTCAAATGTTCACAATTCTACGCATTTATGTGAGAGAGAGTGATAAAAGTTAAAAAAAAAAAAGAAAGAAAGAAAGGAGAAAAAATGTTTAGTTGTAGGATCAAACATGTTTCATTGAAGCACAGGAAATGATTGTGTGTTTGAATTGTTTAGATACATGAATAACATATACCTCCAAAATTGAAAAAAAATAGAAGTTAAAAAGGTAAGGATTTAATACATTTCCTTAATATATGCTACAAAATCAAGTAACATTTGACTTTCTAATAATAGCCATGGTCTATGTGATTGGGAGAAGTGTAATTGTGGTTATTAATTGTTTAATCAATTGACTGGTGCTTGTTCACACAATGGGTTAGAGGTATTTTTTTTATTCAATAGTTAGGAATATTTGATTCAATTTATGTGTATTTTGATTAATTTTTTTTTAGACTCGTCAAAGACAAATCATCCACATGTAGACTGAGATATTTATGAGAGATTGACCAAAAATAATTATCAAAATTCAAAATCAAAATATCTAAATTTTTAATTCATCTGTATTGATGGGACATTTTCTGTACTCAAGAGGGACGAGACACGTGTCCTCGACATATTGGCTGCGGAGTGTTCTTTGGATGACACGTGTCCTCGGCATCTTGTCTGCAGAGTCCTCGACATGTTTTCTGCGGTGTCCTCAGCATCTTGTCTGTGGAGTGTACTTCGAATGTCCGCGGAGTCCTTAACATGTTGTCAGCGGAATCCTCGGCATGTTGTCCGCAAAGTCATCGGCATCTTGCCCACAAAGTCGTCGGCATCTTGTCCGCGGAGCACTCTCCACATGGCATGTCATCTCAACGCGGCACCTCGGAGCTCCTTGCGAGTGAAACATGTCCTTGGCACCAAATGCGCCTCGGAGCTCCCTACGAGTGACATGTGTTCTCAGCACTAAAGGCACCTCAGAGTCTTCATCACGTGACACCTGTCCTCGGCTCCCAAAGTTTCTTGAGGAGACCTCCACTTAACATGTGTTCTCGGCGTCGGGTCCTTTGCTCCACCGAGGTAATGGCGACCGTCTTGGGACTTGGGTTATGACAAATGATTGAGTTCTTAAAGAAGTCAAGAATAATGTCACTACATCAGAGGAATGAGTGGCTTTTAATCATCAAACCCTCTTCCTAAGACAGAAAGAATGACAAGGTAGATAATTTGGTGACCAATAGAAAGAGTCCACGAAATACGAAACTCATATAATATGACCTCCTGGTGGGGCAAAGGATGCAATTGCCCCAGTGCATGCGCAACCACAATGAAGGACATTAAATGATTCATCAGAAGGATGTGATGCACTTATTGCTCGGCGGACTCCAGGGGAAGTGCATTAACTGTTCGGGGGCCCAAGCATTAAATGTTGAAACTTCTTTTCATCTGACAAGAAAGACATTTTGCTTAAGAACTGTGCTTCACAGGTTGTCTTCTAAAGGGACCAACGAGGGACTTCCTTTCTAAGGGACTCACCTGTCTGCAATGATTACCTTTATGCAAATATAAATAACTCTCATAAATGTAAGACAAAGGCACACAATCTCACCTAAGAACACATGATAGTGTTTTTCCTTTCTCCTGTCTCACAGACTGACTTGACTGTTGAAGGGGATACGCTGAAAAATATTTTGGTGCCTTCTAACCCCTTTTTTTGAGTGTTAGGAAGCACCTTCGGCTCGTTGGAATCGATCGGATAGTTTGAAAAGTAATTCATCACTACTCCTTAGGGCCTTTTTCACTTTTTTTTTCTTCGGATTCTCGACTTTCAAGTAAATCCTATGTTCATCAAAATAAATATTTCTGTCCTTTTTATTTATTATGCAAAAATCACCGCACAAATGTTGAGCTATCCGAAATTATGAGATAGAGCTATCTGCGGCCAACATTGGCACTTCCGTTTGGCCACTTGTTTTTTTTTCTTTCTTGGTAATGGTCCATTTGACTAAGGACTTTCGATCATCCGAACGTGGCTTTGGCTCATCCAAACATGGTATTAATAATTAAATGAGGGGATTTTCTTAGACACCGCAAGTTACGTTCAATTTGAGTTATTACTTATTAATAAAGAGGTCGAGGGACCCATACATGATACATATATGGTAAATATCATAATTAAAATTTTAAATTTTATTTTTTATTTAAAAATAATTATTAAACATTTAATTACTATTTCTCGTCAATTAAATTCGTCTTGTTCATCAATTTCAACCGTTTTACTGTTGATGAAAGTTCATCTATTTTTTAGTATTGAGATCTAATTTATTGACCTAATTCATTATGATCTTTGAATTGACTGTGGGCTCCATCAAATATTAAAATTTGGTGTTAATCCAATAGTTCCAATGAAATCACGTCATTAGATCAACAAATTATATCAGATTTTTGGGTGCAAATAACATTTTTCTTTTGAGTATGATATGAAAAATAAGTATTATTTAATTATTATTTCATTCTCTATCTCTCTAAAAAACTTCCCTCTCCAAATCTTGCATACATATCCGTCACGGACCCACATCAGAGGTATTAATAATTAATAATTATACTTGAGAGCAAATTAGGATAAAAAAAAATAGAATTATTATTTTTTTGATACTATACAAATATTTATTTACTCGAACCGATTCAAGATCAATACAAAAATATTATACTTTGATATAATCTTATCAAATAGAGTTGTAATTTCATTATTCAATAGTTATCTATCTAGTAAAATAATTATCTCTTTGAATTTTATCTTTCATATATATATTTTTTTCTTATATCTATCACATAACCCATTTATATTAAATACAATTTAATTTTAAATATTATTTATATATGATAGTGTACACATGTTAATATTTTTTTGAGGTCAAATATTTTGAAAAAAAATTGTAATTTTTTTTTAAAATAATGAATAAAAATTAATTTTAAATTATGTAATTAAAAAGATATAAAAAATAAAAATTATTATTTAATTTTTTAAGCACTCAGATTTATGTTACATTGTGATTTTGTTATGGCCAGTTATTTAATATCATACCAATATTTATTTATTTATATTTGAATTTCATGAGTTAGTTTGATAATTGAAGAATTTTCTCTTCCTGCTACTGTTCGGTTACAAACTCTTCTCTGTAGCTGACCCACACACACGCACATCAAAGAACAGCTATGTGACACCAAATCCACCAGGATTCTGGAATTTCGGCTAACCCAAAAAGAGGTTTTCCGGCGAACCGAGATGGAAAAAGAACCACTTTTACCATATATAAGCCCAAGAAGTCCCAGACCCTCCCCACCACCACCACTACCCCTCTGTCCTTTACCGGAAGACAATGAAATCTCTATCCCTCCTGTCCCTCTTACCCCATCAGAATTCAAAGACCGCCTTATCTTTGGCCCTTCCCCTTCTTCACCTTCTTCTTCATACCCCACAGACCCATCGTCAAGCCTTGTTGATGCTCTAATCCTCACCATAAATTCACCTAGAGACTCCACTTCTTATTCTTCAGACCCAATAAACAATATTGACAATGACCCACAACACCAAAAATCTTGGTTGGTTGATCCTAATTATCCATGGGATAAAAGCCATCTTCATAGGTGCAAGACAGCCCCAGCCATGGCTGTTATCAATGATTTTGAGCATCCTTCAGTGCCTAAACCACCCCAATTTAGCTCATCTTCTATTGTTAGACAGGCTGTTGTGCTTTTGATTCTATATTTGACACTTGGGGTTGTTATATACTCTGTTAATAGGAAACATTTTAATGCTATTGAGACACACCCAGTTGTTGATGCTTTGTATTTCTGCATTGTGACAATGTGTACAATTGGGTATGGTGATATAACTCCTGCTAGTACTGTAACTAAGTTGTTTTCGATTACGTTTGTTCTTGTTGGTTTCGGGTTTATTGATATTTTGCTCAGTGGGATGGTTGGGTATGTGCTTGATTTGCAAGAGCATTATCTGCTGAGGAGAATTAAGGGGGGACCACATGACCCAGGGTCTTATATAATTGATGTGAAGAAAGGGAGGATGAGAATTCGAATGAAGGTGGCATTGGCATTGGGGGTTGTGGTTATTTGTATTGGAATTGGGGTGGCTGTTATGCATTTTGTTGAGAACCTTGGTTGGTTAGATTCATTTTATCTTTCAGTTATGTCGGTTACTACAGTTGGATATGGTGACAGGGCATTTACTTCTTTGCCCGGTCGGATTTTTGCATCGATTTGGTTGCTTGTGTCGACACTTGCTGTTGCTCGAGCCTTTCTTTACTTGGCTGAGGCAAGAGTGGATAAGAGGCATAGGAAGATGGAAAAATGGGTGCTTGGTCAGGATATGACTGTTTCTCAGTTCCTTGCTGCAGACATTGACCACAATGGCTTTGTGAGGTAATTATTTTTATAATTTGTTGACCTTAATTTTATCCTCTTTAGTCTTTTGGTTCATTGATTCTGAAATTCAAATCTAAGCATGAGATCTATGGCATGGTATTGCCTGGTTGCAGTGCCTGAAAATTTTTGTTATAGTTAAGTGAATCCAATTTTGATTTTGGTGGCGTTTGGTGCAGTCCACTGGACATTTGAGTTTGATGGCATTTGTGTACATCTTCAGTATGTTGATGATACAATCCAACTTATGAGACTAGTTAATTTCAGGGATAGGAGACATTTTATAGCTCAGTTGTACACTGGAACGTAGACTAAATGAGAAGGCTGTTGTGACTATCTCTTGTGCTTAAGTTTACAGTCTGTCACATGTTTTTTTAATTGATAGAGGTTCTGTTTTTGTTCCTCAACCGCATAATTAAAAGAGTTTACTGTTTTATGGCTATGATCGAAGAAAATTCATTTCACAATAGTCAATCCTCTGAGTTAATATTGAGTTGGTGACTTAATGGAAAACGTCTCATCCCTGTTAAATTGATAATTTTAATAAACATAATCTACTATGGTCATCAGTGATGTCCTCTAATTTGAATGTGGCTTTTGCATAAAGCAGCAAAAGCATCAGTGTTAGACATGATTGACATGTCTATTTGTTTTTTGGTTGCATGTGCTATGCTTACTTGACATTGAACTGTCACACAGCAAGGGAATTTACGGCGTCAGGCCAGGAATATCTGGACCCCCCCTCCCAAAAAAAAAAAAGCAATCCATCACTTGGTTGGACACTCCACAAATCAATTGCTGCTACTAGTAACCTCCACAAATCATTGGACCCAGGTTATTCAGAAGCCCAGAGAATAATTTATGGCTGTCAAGAGTAACAATTTGACGCCTTTCATTGTTTTCTTCATCATCTCTCTGTTTGCTGTCTGATCTTTTGGATTTTTTGTGATACTTGCAAGCCTTTGTTAGCTATGTATGAATGTTAAATTTGTATCTTCGATTACCTTGATACATCATGGTATGCCTGGATTTTGTTTAAAAATATTTTGGGTTTCACCAGATGAAATTTATTTTTCAATTTATTTTGATGTTTATTTCTAGGTTTATTTCTGCCGTTACTACTTCATAATGTTAAGGAGCTGTTTCTTGATCCATTCCTGATGAGCAATCAAGGAGAACTTTCTAGATGTTTATTTTTTGACAAGTTTATACTGTTTCTTATTGGGATGATGTGTATCAAACACACGACACTAACTTTGCCCAAGATGTTTATCGTTCATGTTTTGATTATTTGCCACTACATTAGCATCATTTTCGGATAGTGTTTTGTACTTGTGAGCACCCTTGGCGCTGCAACCTATCAGTTCTTGTGCCATATCTTTTCATGTTTTATCATTTTATTGTAGAATAGCAATACCTTCTTTGAATTTGTACATCATGTGGGTGGTTCTCACTTCCAGTGACAGTAAAATACAATTTTCAAATCACATAGCTCGGTGTGATGATGGACATGTATTAGAGTTGGGTCCCTCTTCGCAATTGTACCCTCTTCACAATTGCACATTCAAACTATCTTGAAATCAGCTGAGAGAGGCTCACGGTTGTTCATTGCAGCTAAACTTAATCTGTCAGGCTCTCTGTCATGACTTTTATGTTCACACCAGATCCACCATTTGCACTTCCTATGTTTATTCAAGCGCATCAGGATCTTGATCTTGCATCTGACCTACACCATGCAGTTACTGTGTTCCCTTTCACCTGCCCTTCTCATAGGCCATTAGTGGAATGATCTGACCCTCTATCACTTAATGGCAGGCCTATATGAAGCGAGCAGCAGGAAACAGCTGTTCCTATTATTTTTTAAATGGAGTAATCAGCAGATATGATATTGCCCTACTGATTTAAGGCCTCTTAAATGCTAATATGTAAATTGATGGGAAAGTAGGATTTTTTTTCATATTGTGGACGTCTTGTTTACAAGTTCGTGGAGCTTCATTTAACATGTAAAAATCTGAAACAGAAATTTGAGTCCTCCTGATCCGTTTTTGTCACTGCTTGTGTGTGTAGCTTTTGGCATTACAATCATATTGCTTTGTCTGACCTCCAACGTGATGAGACTGATTAGTTTTTGATATTCGTACGGTTACAGTAAATCAGAATTTGTTATTTACAAGCTCAAGGAGATGGGAAAGGTATCAGAGAAAGAAATCTTTCAGATCTGCAAAATTTTTGATCGGCTAGACACCGGAAACTGTGGGAAGATTACTCTTGCTGATCTCATGGAAAGTCATCACTAAGATATCTAGGTGGCGGTGGCATAGGTTCTGGTATCGACCCTGATTTGTCTCAGATTCAGCAGAGGCAAGCGAAAATTCTTTTTGATAGTACAATAGCAAGAAGAGTAAGTTTGAAGTTCCAGTTGTATATGAATGGTCGTGCTAGTATGATATTAACTAGTTCATGGATGATCATGGTGCCTGAAGATCCCGACCACCCGATGGGCTAAATTTTTCCGCAATTTAGAAGGGCAAAACACAAAAATCTCTCATGGTCTGGTCTCATGTCCTATCCAAATAGAAAACATCTTCAAAAGTTAATGTTATTTATTTGCCAGAGAAGTAGTTGGACCGATTGCTCTAGTTCTCCGGTAGTCAGATGTCTTCGATTGGCGAGGATCGTGCCCGACTGAGAGGTTTATGGTCCATCCAAACATTTTGTTAGAACATTGTAGGCATATTGAGTTTATATTTTTCAAATGCAGGAGGAAAAAGTAAAAGAAGAGGCAATTGTACTTATGGTACTGGTTTTCCTATTCTTGTTTTTCGTAGAGTAAATCTATATGGGTTCCATGGGTGAAAATGTGATTGGGTTCCATGAACCAAGGTTGGGCTTCTTTTTTCTCTGCCTCCTCCTCTGGTATATGCAGGAATCATTATAACTCTCTCTCTCAAACTAACATTATCCTTAGTTTTTTCAGACATGGCTAAATAAGTTTTGGACATATTATGATTATTTTATATATGTATTTTTTAAAATTATAGGATTATTTTATTATTATATAGAAATGAGTTTTATTACGTAAGAATCTATTGAGTCATAAACGAAAGATTGTTACCATAATTTGAAAAAATATATTTGTTGATGGGGTTGATTTGTAATGCTTTTAAAAGATCAAAAATTATTAGACTAATTGTAAATGATAATAATTGGTCTTTTTCTTAGTACCAAATTATAATTAATTTTTTATATTTTTTGTGTAGATGCTAGTAGATCAATTATTAATTTTTATGTTTAATAACTTGTAAGTATTAAATATGATTTTAGCAAATATATATTTATGAATTTTACGGTTAATTGAAAGAAAAAATTGAAAATTGGAGCTGATTCTTCTTGAAAGGACTTATAATGAATTTAGTACGTTAATGAAACTTATTTGGGGATATGTTTATTTTTAATTTTATTAATAAATAGTTAAGTCTATTATTTTTTTAAAACTCTAAAATACATTTCTTTAAAAGTAACTTTAAATTACTTTCCTGACTTAAGAATTGTTATCTCTTTATTTATTATTAATGAAGGTATGCCAATAAATTCTTTTTTTAAATTTGAAATTCAAATTCGAAGAACAATTGACACTCTCTCTCTCTTTATATATATACTACTAGTTCGAGATTTCCATGAGTATTATAACTTTGTCCTGTATTATTATCTTATTATTAAATTGAAGGTTTAAACACCGTCTAATGATCGTCAGCTAACTATATAAAACTTGAAACTAGTTGATTGGCGGATAGGTTGTCATTATGTGCTTAGAAATTGAAGAATGAACAAATTAGAAGAGCAAAGAAAAGTGAAATTTGGGACTGGGACTTGAAAATGCCTCTAATATACTCTGTTAGGAACAAAAATATCGATGAATCCTAAGTTAAATGTTTTTGTGTTTCTGAATATTGGAGATGGCCATTTATAGTGCCAATTGTCTTTAACATTGCTTGATCGTTAGTTGATTTGAGATTTGGGTAGACCATTAAATATTGAAATTCTTATTTTCTTTTTTAAAAAAAAAAGAGCAAAAAAATAGATGTATAAAATATACCTAAATTATGATAGCAATATTTACTATAGATGAACTCATATGGACTCGTCGAAGTAGATTATTTGTTTTTGGTTTAAATGTTACTATTTTTGTTTTAGAATGTTAATATTTTTATTTTGTTTAAATATTTTTTTTTGTTATTGAATGTTATTATTATTTTTAAATGATATTATTTTCGATTTGAATGTTACTATTTTTATTTTTATTTTTGAATGTTCCATGTTTCTATTTTTTTTACCATGTTACTATTTATGTTATTGTTTTTGCCGACATGTTACTATTTTTGTTGGATATTTTACTATTTTTGTTGAACATGTTACTATTATAATTTTTTCAGATATTAATACTCAATATTATTATTTTTGTTTTTAAATACTACTACTTTTTTGTGTTTAAATGATACTATTTTTTGTGTTTGAATGTTTCTATTTTTTTTAATGTTATTATATATATAGTTGAACCAGTAAACTATTAACCTAGTCTCCTTACCAGTTCGATAACGGGTCTGATTATGATAATATTGAATCCAAAGATCATAATAAACTAGATCATTAAATTAAACCCTAACAACATTACTCAAAAAAAAAAAAATAGATGTGATGGGCCCGGACCAAACGAGGCCTAGTTCAAGTAATGGGCCTAGCCTAATCGAGGCCCAACTCGAATAGTGAGGCTGGCTCGAACAAGACCCATCTCAAGTAATGGGCTTGACCCAGACAAAGCCCAATAAACTCAATCCAAATAAGATCCAGCTTGACTCACCACGGAGTCAAGGGAGCGCAGTTAGCCACGTCATCCTAGAGCCAAGGAAGGAGTCACACCATCCTAGAATTAAGAAGGGAATCATGTTATTCTAGAGTCAAGAAATCAGTTATGCCATCCTAGAGTTAAAGACCATGTTATCTTAGAGTCAAGAAGTTAGCCATGCCAACATTCTCAAATAGGGAGTCACGCCATCTTAGAATCTTAGCCACGCCATTTTGAGAACCCGTTTGCAACTGATAAGGAGATCTCCACGCAACTACTCCATCCATTGCGAGAATGGTATCACCTCCACCAAATTAGCCTATCTATTACAGATGTGACGTTTCAATTTGTTAGAAGGCGCCTATAAATTGTAAGCCTCACCTACACATGAGTGACATCTTGCATCTTATCTCATATCTGACACCTGAACTCTCATTGTTCTCACCTCTACACTCAAACAATAATAAAGCACCCCGGTAATCAAAGCCCTTCAAAGTGGAGTAGGTTACCTTAACGGAACCACTCTATATCTGTGTGTTGTTTATGTTGATCTCATGTTTATATTTAGGGAGAATTATACTCAGACCCTCTGAAGTTTGTCACTTAACAACTCAGATCCCCTGACATTTAAAATATTACATACAGACTCCTTAAGGATTGTACGCTCGTAACACTTAGACTCCTGTTGTAAATATATCCGTTAATAAATTATACTTAGACTACTCTAAAGTTTGTGGGTATATAATACTTAGATCTTTTAAGTTTAAAATATTTTACTTAGACAAAAAATACTTCAATCAAATATAAAATATAAAATATTTTAAATTTACAACCAAAATTCATTTTCTATTGAATCATTTATTGAAATAAAATCAAAAATAAAAATTCAAATTTTTCTTAAAAAATTGTAACTAGTATACAATTATATTGTCTATTTGAATTTAATTTAGTCGTTTAAACGACCAAATTAAAATACCAAACTGCTCTAATTAAATCTAAAAGATATTGTGTCCATTGCAGTTTAATTCCTTATTTAATTTTTTAATTTTGTTCTAATAGACAATATAAATATATACTTACTATGTTTTTTTTTAAATAAATTTTTATTTTTGATTTTATTTCAATAGATGACATAATAGAACATGAATTTTGGATGTAAAATTCATGTTCTATTATGAATAATTTAGACTCATTGTTTGATTTTTTTAGTTTTATTCTAATAGACAATATAATTGTATATTAATTATGATTTTTAAAGAAAAAATTAAATTTTTATTTTTAATTTTATTTCAATAAATGATACAATAGAATATGAATTTTGGTTGTAAAATTTAAAATATTTTATATTTTATATTTATTGGAGTATTTTTTGTCTAAATATAATATTATAAATTTAAAAGGGTCTAAGTATTATATACCCACAAACTTTAAGAGAGTCTAAGTGTAATTTATTAACAGATATATTTATAACAGATATCTAAATATTATGCGCGTACAAATCTTAGGAGGTCTGTGTGTACTATTTTAAATGTTAGGGGGTCTGAGTGATTAAGTGACAAACTTCAGAAAGTTTGAGTTTAATTCTCCCCTATATTCAGGGGCGTAGACAGAAATCTTCTCCAGTGGAGGCAACAATAGTCAAAATTTTAAATGTTCACAAAAATATATTTTTATTAATAAAACTTCAATTAAAGGTACAACTCATATACATGAGTGATGTAAAAAAAGAGCGAACAAAAAAAAAATTAACTATAAATTTATCTATAAGACCTAACAAAAAAAAATTGAACAAAAAAATTGGGTTCAATCATATATCGAGTCTATAGTGAGAAAATCCAAATTATCGAACATCTTATAAATATTCATATTTGCTCCTAACGAGTTTTCATATTTTAAAAGCGTTGTATGATAATTTCATTATCAGTAGTACTTAAATTTATTTTCTCGACATATGTAACCAAACAATTGTTCATTAATTGATCTTTCATTCAATTGCTCAATTAATTTTTTAAAAATTAATTTGTTCAGTCACAAACTTAGTATTCATCAATGAATTTTAACAAACAATAGAAACTAACTTAAACTATCACTATTCCATTAAACAAAACCTAGGTATAGGAATTACGTAACCTATCACAATAAAATTATTCAAACCACTAAATCAAAATAATTTAATGTAACACATAATGGAAGACTATATGCCCCAATTCAAATTCAACATATAAGAATAAAACAAAAAAGAGGGCTACAAGCCCCAATTCCAATTCAACATAAAAATAAAACACAAGAGAGGATTACAAACACCAATATCAATTAAATATACAAAAAATAAATCATAAAAAATGACTACAAGCCCCAATTTCAACATATAAAAAAATATAAAGGACTACAAGCCCCAATTTCAACATATAAAAATAAATAGAAGATTATAAACCCCAATTTCAATTCAATACATAAAACAATAAAACACAAAGAGAACTACAACCCCATAAATTTTTTAAAACTTTTTAGTGGGGGCAAATGTTTAATAAATTCTAAATTTTTTAAAATTATACTTACACCCCACATTTTTATAAAATTCCAGTGGGGCAGCTGCCCCCATTGTGAATCCGCCGCTGCCTATATTTATTATATTTATTACCTATATTAATTACTCGACAGATAGTGCATAAAACTAATTTGTGCCTCATCAAGAGGCATAATGGAGTGACTGCAATAATGAAATTACGCACGAAAATTATATATTACATTTATAAATGTGACATCTGAATATGAATTTATGGTTGTTCAAAAAATTAAAAACTCTAATTGATTAAGTTAATGTCCTAACTTGAAGAATGTGACTAATACTGCACGGGATAATTCCTGTAATCGTTTGAGATAGCGACCTCCAACCTGATGAACCTGAAACAATCACAGGGTCAGGAAAAAGGGCTAGGTGAACACCCAACTTATCCCCTCTGAAGCTTAAGTCAGTTTCAAGATTCGAAGTTCAAGCTCAATAAATAATAATCTTTTTCTGGTTTAATCTTGCGTACATTTGTTCATTTTTCTGAGGAGTATTTATACCTGAATTAACAATGATTGTCAAAAACCTCCAGTCCCATCCGGACATTTAATGTCTGACATGC